ATATACACAATCTATACATATAATAAAATTGTAACTAAGTCGAATCTGTATATTAAATATTTTTTGGAAAATCTTATTGAAGTAGATATTATTATCGATACAGAGGCCGAATCTATAGTTTTTAGAATTTTTGTTTGTCTGTCTCTCTGTTACCGCATCATAGAAAAACCACTGGAGGGATTTTGATGAAATTTGGTATGGTGATAGCAGCTTATCCAGGTCAACATATAAGATACTGTTTACTGCGGGAAAATGTCTCATTTCTGAGAAATAATACAAAAACTGCAATGTAAGAGTACACCTACTAATATGTAAAACCTAAGAATTTGGTTTTTGGTCAGAGCCGCGGGCAATGCTAGTTATATATAAATTAAACGCATGATAATTACAATTTAAAAAAAAACTTTCTCTACGTTATAGATTTACTACTTTTACGATATATTCGCTATTATATGTATATTATTGCAATGAAAAACTATTAAAGAAAAACAATTTCAAGCACTTACGAAAGTTGATGAGGATGGATGAATGTTTGTTATTCTTTCACTTCAGAATGGGTTAACGGATCTTGATGAAATTTAGTACAGAGATAGAATATAGTTTGAAATAGCACATAGAATATGTTATTCCGGAAAAATATAAATTTTATCCGTGGGATAGATTTGTTTTTTTTTTCACCTGGGACGAACCCGAGCTAAGCAAGGATGAGTTACTAATATAAAATAAATATAATAATATTTGACCATGGTAGCTCAGTGGTAATGCGCTCTATAAAACCAAATGATTCGGGTTCAAATCTCAGGTCTCACACATAAAAAAAAACGAAAAACATCGTGAGAAAACCTGCATGTCTAAAACATCTAGCTAGTTTTGAAAGACCACCAACCCGCACTTGGCCTGTGGCCTATGGCCTGATGGCCTATGGCCTAATCTTACTCAAATTAACGGAAGGCCCTTGCTCAACAATCGGATGTTAAAAAGAGCTGGATGAGATGGAGAGACAAGAGAGAAAGAAAATAAATAATTAATGAAAACAATTCAAAATAAAATTACAATCGAATTGTAATAAGTAAATAGCAATTCCTTCTTTTAGAAGGCGATCAAAATAATGAACGTAAACATTATATTGTAATAATATTTAAAATATATCTGTGATAGGTTAATAAGTATTACACAATTAGTCGGAATGAGCAAATATTGCAAAACTATAATAAGCCGCAGCTTGATTACTAACAACAATTTTCTACAGTTCTATCTGTAGTTAGGTATTTATTTACATGGTTATTATTGAACGTACAATCACGAGCATAAATATATGACCATGGACAATTTGATAATCATTTTATTTATTTTAATTTTAACCAGTTAGACATTTGGAGTTTTATTTAACCATTTGTTGCTCTAAATTATTTTTAAATATACTCGTACACATTTTTGTGATCGCCTTTCACAAATCTTTATTTTAATACCCTTCTCGATAGGTTTAGAGGAGAAAAGTTCTCAAGACACAAATAAGATCCGCCATTTTGTTTTTAATGATATCCATTATCTATATAGAATCATTAAAAGCAGTTAAGTGATTTAGTAATTTCAAGGGAACATAGGATTACACATACATATAGGTAAAATATAACTTTTCTGTTCACTTCTGATAAAAATATGTATATGGCATGTCTAGCATTTGTAATTACTGCCTGATATATTTTACCCTAATCTATATATATAAAAGAAAGTCGTGTTAGTTACTTCGCTTATAACTCAAGAACGGCTGAACCGATTTAGCTGAAAATTGGCAGGGAGGTAGTTTAGAGCCAGGAGAAGGACATAGGATACTTTTTATCCCGTTCGACCGCGTTCCAATTTTTATGATATTTTAATTTTTGGATTTCTCTTAGTCCGGAATAGGTAAGTATTAAAACATATAATTAAAATGTGAGAAAGAAAGATTTTTTCTTTTTATATCTATTTAAAACGTACCTAGCGACGAACCCGAGCGAAGCGAGGGTGAGCCGCTAGTTAAGAATATATGTCAATCTACAACAAAAATAGTTAATGGAAAATTACCATTAGTGGGAAATCAATGGTCATATAGTTATGCTCATGACTGTACGTACTACATATACTCGTATGTAGGAGAACCGCACGAACTAACGCTTAATCAAAAACAAAATTATAATACGAATATCCAATTATGAGAATAATGAATTTTGTTACGCCAAATTGAATCCTATATGCTCATTTCCTTGCCATTTTGTTGTTTTAAATATTAACAGGATAATTTTCAATATTGTTTGTAGTGGTAGCTGATTATCAAAGTGAAGCACTCGCTTGAAAGGTCAAGTGAAGTGGGTTCAAGCGCGGGTCTCACACAAGTTCGAATTTTTTAACCTAATTACCACTTTCAAATAAAGTTAAAAATTATGCAATTTTAAGAGCAATTTTGGGAGCAGTAGGTAGACTGTTTTTGGAAGACGTTTGCATTTGGTGATGGCGGTCCAACGTCGACCTATTGCTTGCATTAAGTAGACCGCTGCCAGCAGTGGAACGTTTCATCACTATTTTACTTAATGTAATAAAACTACCTGAAATAATTTTGTAGGATTGATTTTTTAAACATCAAATAAAAGTTGTAAGCAACTTAAATCCATACTGTTATAAATTTGAAAGTTTGTGAGGATGGATGGATGGATGTTTGTTACTGTTTCATGCCAGAGCAGCTGAACGGATCTGGATGAAATTTAGCACAGAGATAGGTTGGATAGGCTAGAATAGCAGAGAGATAGGCTGGAATAGCACATAAGTTACTTTTTATCCCGGAAAATGTACCGCTCCCGCGGGATAGATTTGTTTTTGTCTAGGGACGAACCCGAAGCGAAGCGAAGGTGGGTCGCTAGTGTAAAATAAACAAATGATTAATTATAATGATAATGATTTAGCTGTTCAAATTTTCTTCATAGTTAGGTTATTATTTAGGTGACAGAATTTACAGGAAAACAAAATTCATATATTTTCTTAAAAATACATGTCTTACACCATTTTTAACATAATTTCTATTAAAACAAACAAAACATAGATAATAATAAAAATAAGTAATAGTACAGTAGTATAACTAACTTATGTAATGATCTTAGTGTTTCATTAACAATTATATTTTAAAGTAATAAACATCTTAAATAAAGAAAATCGTATCCATGACATAAAAATATAACTAGATTAAATTTAAGACAATTCACTCAATTATCAAGTTCATTAAATTTCTCTCCAGTGACAGGCTTTTAAGGTAATTGTGTTAGAGTGTAATTACAAGGAACGGAACGGTGCTGTCGGTTGGGAATAACGGAATATCAATGCCCACTCTGACGGCTTTGTTAAAATTAAAGAATTTACTTACTGTCTTCTTGTATTACATATTGGAAAATTAAAATAGAAATCTTATTGATATTATAGTTGTTAAAGTTTTTAAAGATGCTTAAAATGTGGGGGTTTAGACACGATGTAATTTTTTTTGCTGTCTGTCTGTTTGGGAACGCATCACGAGAAAACCACTGAACAGATTTTGATGAAATTTGCTATGATGATAGCTGGTTATCCGAGTCTACATATAGAATACTTTTAAATGAGCTACTTCTACTACGCTAGTACTATAATAAAAATAAATACTTTTTTAATTATACTCTTTAAAGTAACAGGCTGTAATGTTAGTTTATTTTTTATAGTACGCATTTAGGATAGTCCAATAGAAATTCAGATGTAGGTCAGTTTTATTGCGATAAGCCCCCGAGCTCTGGTATTGTGGCATACGCTTTGCAATATTACGATTTTTTAACGTTTTTAATGATGCCATTGAATAAAAAATGTAAAAACGGATATTTTCACTTAACGACGTTCTCATTGGTTATAAACTTCTAAAAGTAGTTTAATGAGCAACTTTAAAAAGAATGAGGTACTAAATTTCACTGTATGATTTTTTGGGACTTTACAACAACTTATCTTCGCCAATATCTTTAAGCCGATTTTTATGATTGCTTTTTAATGAATAGGTTAACATAGCTTATACAAGTGTGTTTCGCATAATTTCAAGAAGAAATTCACACACAGAATGACTTTTCTAAAATTTTGGAAATGCATTTAGGCATACCATCTGCATATATATAGTTAGTTTTGTAGGACTCACCGGCTAGAAAAGCCAGGACTATCCACTAAAACCCATTGAAATCTCCCCGGCCATAATGGGGCGTCGCAAGTTCGTTTACGCTCTCAACTACGACGCCCCAACGGTCCACTCTGATATCAGAGAAGTACCAGGAGCAACCCGTATGGCACACAGCCTACCGTAGTGGGCTACCTCTCAGTGCGATTCTTGGCTTCTCGCACGACTAGATTGCAGGACGTTAGTGAAGCCTCTCACCACGACAAGGTGACAGTTCTAATAAATCATAAATAATCTAATAATTAATAACTTTTTCTTATAAAAAAATATATGTTATTTTGAAATAGTAATCTACGATTTCCAAACAGCAACCTATTGAAGATACAATATAAGTTTTGCGCGGTTTCCATACAAAATAAATAGTCTCAGTTTTTTTTATGTAAAACTTCTTTAGAATCGGAAATGTGTCACGACAGAGACAAACACATACATATATAGGATTAAGCCGGCGAGAGAATTAGATATAATACATTACACAGGAAATTGTTGGTAAAAGTTTTAGTTTATTGACAAATCAAGAAACAAATCTATAGAAAACAAATCTATCCCACGGGAACCGTAAATTTTTTGAGATAAAATGTAATCTTTATGCTATTCCAGACTAGAATCTATCTCTGTGCCAAATTTCATCCAGATCCGTTCAGCCGTTCTGGCATATAAGAATAACTTCCATCCATCCTCTCAAACTTTCACATTTATAATATTAATATGATTATATACATATGGATATAATAAATCACTATTTTGTTTGTTCGCAGTCTGTAACCAATTTGCGCGTGGAGTATTTGCAATGCTAGGAGCTGTGACTCCTGAATCCTTCGATACTTTGCACTCTTACACGAACACGTTCCAGATGCCATTCGTCACGCCATGGTTTCCGGAAAAGGTGAGTATTTTATTTATTTGCAACTATTTTTTATATTAGACAAGCAACTTACCCTCCCTTCGTTAAACGTTTTACATTTTTGCAATTATTAAATATTGAATTCATACAATAATTTATCGGATTTCTACAATAATTTATCGGATTCATACAATAATTTATCGGATTTCCAAAAATTCCTTAGAAATTGACTAATAAAAGTCCGCGATATTGAAAATGTTGTTTTAATTATTTTATGTATGAATCATTATATTTTCATTATTAGGTACAATATGGATACGTGTTAAATATATACAAAATATTTCTAAGGAAAATCGAACCCGTGACATGTGTGTAGTACAGTAGACTGTATCGCTACGTCCATTAATATAATAAATAATGCTTAAAATTAGTTTAAATTTGTGGAGTAATGTTTTTATAGTAGACTAGCGACTCACCCTCGCTTCGCTCGGATTCGTCCATACGTTCAATCCCCATACAAACTTTCATCCCAATTTTCACCCCCTTACGGGATGATTTTCGAGATAAAAAGTATTCTATGTCCTTTCCAGGGTCTCAAACTATCTTTTAATCAAATTTCATCTAAATCGGTTCAGTAGATCCAGAGATTACCCCCTACAACGTCACAAACTCACAATTTCACAAACTCACGAACTTTACCTCTTTATAATATTAGTATAAAATATAATTTTTGTGAGTAAAATTCCAGACTATATTAGACTTAATGAATACGGATGGTCGAGATAAAACTGCATTACATTTCTATGGGATTCTGCTGACAATCAATCCTCTTAATTTCGATGCTCAGCGATTGAGATTTTTTTCAATAAGATTAAATATTGAATGGTAAGTCATGTAATATTTGAGCTACGATTTATTTAAAACCGTTTTTCTTCATAACGTTTTATGAGTAATATTTATCTTACATAGTTTAATATTTTAAAATCAAGTTTCTATGTTACTTAGCTCAATCTATACTAATATTATAAAGTGGAAAGATTTTTGTTTATTTGTACTGAATAAGTTCTGAAACTACAAAACCGATTTAGATGAAATTTGGTAAGAAGATAGTTGGAGACCGTGGAAAGGATATATAATAGTTTTTATCCAGACATTATCTCTTACGGGGATGAAAATGGGGATGAAAGTTTATGTGGGGAATCTACCTAGGAACGAACCCGAGCAAAACGTGGTTAAATTTGCTAGTTTTTATATAGAAGGGTAAAAGTGACTCAAGTTATATTAGTAAGGAAGGATAGGAAGGAAGAGAAGGGAATAGCTTGTTATAAAAAAACTAAACTTTTTGAGTACTTTAATTCATAAAAGAATGTAAGCTGAAAAAAGGCAGTAAGTATTCAAATAGCTTAAAACCTAACTAACTTTATCCCGTAGGGCTGATTTTTCATTTTTTTTTCTCAAAGACGGAACACTTCAGTACCATTATCTCCTCTGTTTGTAAATTAATTATCTTTTTTTTGTCTAGTAGCTATTGACGAGTTTTAGTGTTATCAATATAGAAATTTCGAAACGATAATTTTTTTAAATATAATTAAGTAAATTATATTCATATAGCTAGTTTTCGAAAGACATGTGAAGTCCGCTAACCCGCACTTGGCCAGCGTGGTGGACTATGGCCTGACCCCCCTTGTATTGAAGGAAGGCCCATGCCCATTGCCCAGTAGTGGGACGTAAAAAAAGGACTAAATACGTGTTTATCTCAAATTTTCAATAATGGTTATGGTCAAATTTTAACCACTAGACAAAAAATAGTGTGATTTAACCATTTATTTTTGATCGGTTTCAAAAAAAGATATAAAAGAAGCAGTCATGAGTCCCGCCGACTGAAGTGAAAACTTAAAACTATAAACAAAAAGTTGTTATTTTTGGATTCAAATTACTTAATTGTTTGATGTTAAATAAAAATTTATAAATTGAAACTGTTTACATTTATCTGGTTTTGACATCTATCGGTACTCTGAGTGTTAGCGTTAACACGTCACGTGACCATGTCGATGACGACTTACATGAATTTACTCCTCATCCAAACCTGCCTATAGAAGTTTTCACTTCAAAAAAATATTTAAGTCGATTGTATGCTTCTCTTGGCATAACTATGTTACGTGGCATCTTTAGCTGTGAACCAATATTCATGACTATATAAACAATATACATATATATATATATATATATATATATATATATATATATATATATATATGTTAATGAATAATTAAATACTCGTAATTAATAAGAGTTAATTAAGGTTCTATATAAACAAGAAAAACCCACGTTTAAAGTTATTTCCAAGTCGTTGTTTAGTTATTTTTTACCTGTTTAACTATAAAGATAACAGCTTGTATTAACTGTTGTATATATTTTATAGGTAATCCCGCCGTCATCAGGGCTTATAGACCACGCGGTTAGCATGCGACCGGACTACCATCGAGCAATCGTGGACACTATTGTGTATTACGGTTGGAAAGAAGTCATTTATATCTACGACTCACATGACGGTAAGTACTATAATATATAGATACACTTAATATTATATACATAAAACTTTTTTTTTTCGAATGCTATTGCAGTTTATTTTTGATTTTCGGTTCCGGATGTTTTGGGAATCAAAAACCAAAATTGGTAAAAAACCAAACAAAACAATTATTTAATTTAAATTGCCAAATATTTACGTAAAATTGGGAGAGTATTAAAATGTACATATTATAGGTTATTTCTTTATCTTTGTATCTTAAAGTTATAAGTTATATGTAGGTAACTATTTATGTTACTTTACATAAATATATTGTTATTAGCTTTTTTAACGTCTCACCGTTGGGCCTACTTCAATGTGCGGAGGATCAGCCCATAGTCCACCACGCTGGCTAAATGCGGGTTGATGGACTTCATATGTCTTTCGAAAACTTGCTAGATTCTCTCAGACATGCAGGTTTCCTCACAATGTTTTCCTTTACCATTTATCATAGGTAATCATATTAATATGAGACTAAATAAATATCTGACTTGCGAGATCCGGGATTTGAGCTCACTTCTCTTGGTTTCCCCAGAGGGCGAGTTACCACTTGGTTACCACTGCCCCTAATTAAATTAAAAACGAAATATTATTTTCATCAAAGCTTTCACCTACTTCCTTATGAGTATTAACTTAATTTTAGTTTCAATAACAACGTTTGAGTACCATTTCTAATTCACTATGCGAGAAGTACGCTTAAACAATAGGTCGCAGAGTGCCCCTCGAAACTTCACCGCCCTTGCTCACACATCTATTCTAACAAAATTTAAAATCCAACAAATACGAGTTGCATAAATGCGAGTATATTTTTAACAGGGCTCGTGACTTGTCTGTTTTGAATAATACTTGCTGTAGGATGGGTCTGTTAGGTTATACAGCATTTCTTTGTGCTTTATACAATTTGTGTAATTTTTGATACTAGCTTTTTAATTTTCATGTTCACTTTTAGGATTTAATGTGAACAGTTTGCTTTATATTTATGGATTTTAATTAAAATACTATTTTAAGCGCCATTATCTAATATATTTAAACGAGCAATTTTTGTATATTTATTTATACCGGCGATCTCAGAAACTTTTAACAATTTCGCTGAAATTTGGTATGTAGGGGTTTTCGGGGGCGAACAATCGATCTAGATTAATCGGGGAAAACGCGTGTTTTCGAGTTTACATGCGGTTTTCTTTCGCATTATTCCACGCTAAACACAGTCACTAATTTCGTACGATCTGGCTTAAGCATCGTGGTCGAGCGGCCAAGGCGCAAGATTGACAATTACAGTTGTCCGGGTTCAAATTCTGGTTGGATACAAAGTTTTTACTTTTGTTTTTTTTTTATATTTACTCAAGTGGTTAGATTTCTTTTGGTTTTCAAGCCAAATTAAAAATAAAATTGTACTTTTGGCCAAAAACTCCGAGTGAAGCTCGGTCGCCCAGGTACTAATAACATAATACAAGGATGTTGTTCTTGCCATGTATAAAATGATTGATTAGATATTTTTTTTTTATTTTTTTTATTTCTGTTTGGCGGCTTTTTTATATCACTGCGACCATTTCTGGTCTATTGTGATCGCCGCTATTTTGTACTAGAGTGAACCACTAAACCCTGCTGATGTTAAGAACTGCAGGATTTTCTTAGGGTTACACTCTTTTATTTCATCTAGGCTTGGAAATTGTTTACCTAGATGAATACTACGTTTGTGCATGAGCGGTCCACATTCCCACAGAAGATGCAGTGGCGTTTCGTCTGCCTCCCTGCAAATTCTGCAGGTTCGCGTTTCGCTCAGCCCCAGGTTGAACATGTGCTTATTTAAGCAGCAGTGTCCAGTAAAGGCCCTTACCAGTATTCGTAAGGTTTTTCTGTTTAGCCCTAGCATAAGATTGTTAAACCTTTTGTCGTAGGCTCTAATTAATGCCTTGGAGTGATTCATTCCATTTGATTCAGTCCAGGTCTTGTTCGCAGTCTTGTTGATTAGATATTAGTGCTCTTAGTAAATCTTGTTAAACTAGTACCTATAAGTAGTGTAGTATATGAATATGTACTCGTATATATATAAATATACTGGTAGAGACATAAAATTGGATGTTTGAGAACTTAAGCATATATTCTGGGTAGTGTCCCAAATAACCTTGTTGATTAGTTGTCACTAAGCGATACAACGCTGAATTAGGTGGTGAAACTTAGGTTATATCCTATACGCATATAGGTTTTCATATAGGTACTGAAAATGGTATTCATAAAATTGACGTCGATACTTCAATTGAAATATTCAGAACGTTTTGGTTTGCTTTGAAAACAGCATGAAATTCTAAATGCTGAATTAATTTCGAAGAAACTCTAACAATCACAGATACATGTAGAATAAGTGCAAGTATCTAATACCTTTAAACGAGCAATTTTTGTATATTTATTTATTTATACCGGCGATCTCGAAAACGGCTCTAACGATTTCGCTGAAATTTGGTATAGTATGAGGGTTTTCGGGGACGAAAAATCGATCTATATTAGTCTTATGTCTGGGAAAACGCGTGTTTTCGAGTTTACATGCGGTTTTCTTTTGCATTATTCCAAACAAAACAGGGTCGCTTATTTACGCACTAAAGTACGCTCGGGCATAAGTATCGTGGTCGAGAGGCCAAGGCGCAAGATTGACAATCACAGGTGTCCGGGTTCGAATTCTGGTCGGGTACAAAATTTATACTTTTGTTTTTTTTTGTATTTATTCAAGTTTTCAGTTTTTTTTTTTCGTTTTTAAGCCAAATTAAAAAAAAATGTACCTTCGCCCAAAAAATCCGAGCAAAGCTCGGTCGCCCAAGTACTGAGTAATTAAGAATTCTACATACCATATCTATTAGTACGCGTATATTCAGACATTTTATTTAAATGAACATAACAATGTCCATAAATAAAATTAAAGTGTTTGTTTGTAATGTCAAAATAACTTTTTACTAAACGCATATGAAAATATATAATATGGCACATATACATATATCTCTGTCTGTTTGGTCTGGCTAATCGCTAAAGTGGCTTGACTGATTTTAACAGGACTTCCATGGCAAATAGCTGATGTTATAAGGAGTAACTTAGGCTATTTTAATTTTAGAAAAAGAATTAGGATTCCTATGGACACACCTTAGCAAAGCGAGGGTAAATGGCTAGTATTGTAATAAATACTATAGAATGTATACACGGCGACAAAGGTTCGCGTTTATTGTCTCAAGCAGAGTACAGATCATAATGCACTATTTGCGCCACCGTACCCCTGGGATTACAGAGAAGCTGACTCGCTCGATAATAAAACGTCGACACGAAAGAGATTGCGGTTGAAACGGGAGCGGACGCTAATAGTTGCAGGCGTAATGGTGTGCCTATCACCAATGGAACACCGCCAAGTTATTTAATTTGTTCGAATATTGTGTTCGCCTAAGGACGGACCCAGCTAGCAAATGTCGGACGATTTGACCAATTCTGGTTGGAATCGACTTTGTAAGCGGTTATGTTATAGCTTATTTAATATCTATTATAACACTTCGGTTATAAATGTACAAGTTTCTATATTTGTTACTCTTTTACGCCGAAACGACTGATAGAACATGACCTGGACTAATAATATAAGCTACCATTTAAAATTTGCTAAAAGGCTAAAATTTGCTAAAAGATGGCTCTGCTTGTATATAAGATTAAAATTATAAAAAATACACTAGTTTATGTATATATGTACTATATTTTGGTTTGTGTATCTCGGAAACGGCTCTAACAATTTGGATCTGTATTTAGATAAGGTTTTGGTTTTTTTGTTTACCTGTATAAATAAATGTCTTTGAAAAAAGCTCAATTTCTATATCTACACCGAAAAACGTTGAGCGAAGCTCGATCGCCAAAGTACTTAATATATTTACAGTCATTACTTTTAGTTTGAAAATTGATAATAACTGTTTGTTACACATCATTTATAACTAAATAACCGTTCGTAAACTGAAACATTTTACAGGCTTCTTTACTTATTTTCTCAACAACTTTTAAAAATGAACTCCCCAGTTTATTTTCTTAGAAAGAATACTTTACCCTTATTCAAGCTCCTTGGGACTTTGCAAGGAGCATAAATAATATTTATAGTACAGGAGTTGAACACCTCATTTGGGACCTACCCACTCAACTGCAGTTCAAGTTATGAAGCTCGTCTGGATTTATAGACCAAGAAGCGCCAACACATACACAAGTATAAGCTATACAACTTTACCAATGTATCAGTTACTAACTCTATTCGAATTCCCTATTCTCTGAGGCTCGTATTAGTTGACGCTGCAATATTACACTCATATAGTATGTTACCGACATACTTGTAATATATGGTCAAATAGCACATAATTGCGCTAATTAAAGCTTTGTTTGACTTTGTGCTGGTCGAGAGTTAAATTATTTTGCACTGATGCATGTTTTAGTATAATTTAAATAAAACTATCTTTTCGGATTATTTTGCGGATTTATATTGATTTTTGGTTCCCGATATTTCGAATGCTTTACAGCAATCATGGTCTCGGGAGAGACTAAGGTTATAGACGTCTCAAACACATAAACTTGTTACAGACATTTTTGTCATTTTTGAAATAATTTTTGCAAAATAGTGGGTAGTTACTGTATATTATTTTTGATAAAAACTAGCGATTCGCCCTCACTTCACTCAGGTTCATCCCTAGGCATATTTTTTTAATTTTTTTTTCCTTAATTTTTCCAATGTCTTAATAATTATTCTACTATTCGGGGTGAAGACAAATCGAACAAAACACATATCATAAAATCTGTCCAGCAGTTCTCGAGTTATAAGTGTAGCAACAAGCCCAACTTTTTTTTGCATAGATACATGTATAAGACTATAATATTATCTGAAGTAATATTAAAGTACCATAACAAGTAAAACAAGATTGCTTAAAAATTGTTGATACGAATATGTACTTAGATAAATATTTTCCAAATCATTAAATAATAGTT